ATAATAGAAACAATAATAAATTATAAATTACAAGAACAAAAAAATTAATAAATTGTAAACCATAAAACAAAAACAACAATAAATTATAAATCATTAAAATGAATTCATAATATTAAAAGCACAAGAACGAAAAATAACAATTTTCAACAAACTATATGACCGAAAAACATAATTTACTTTAATATTTTTTTATTCCTAAAGTTGACATTGTGTTTTACAATTTTAGTATTTTATTTATGGTTTAATAGTCTTTAGACATAACAAAAATGATCAGAGGTTCAAACCTCACCAAAAGTAATAAAGGTATGTGACTTTATTTGTTGCTTTTATTGTATATAAATATTATATATGCTTTAAAAAGAAATTGTATTTTTAAGTATAAACTACGATTTTGGTTTAAGTATAATCTTGTAATTTGTCTACCATTTTCGACCCCGGTTCTTCAATTTTGTTCTAACCTAAATCTTCAATTCGAGCTTGAATAACTTTTGGGCGCGAGTTCGAACATTTTTTGAATTTTAGAGCTCGAGCTTGATGATTTTAATATTTTTATTATATGATCTATAAACATATGAGAACGTTTGGCTCAAAAAAGTGTATGCTTGAGGCTAAGGTCAACTTAACTCGAAAAATTCAATCGAGTTCTTGAATGAGCTGAGTGGAACATTGGTGTTACGAGGCTCAGCTCGTTAAGTTAAACGAGATTTATTCTACGTTCGAAAGCGATTCGAGCTCGTAAATTATTAAGCTCAGTTCGAGTTCGAATATTACTAAGCTCAAACTCGAGTAAGGGGCCGTTTACCAAGCACTTACCCGATTTTCGCTTACCGGTAAATTTAACACTATCATTTACTTACTGGATAAGATTTTAGTCCACCAAAACGGTATCATAATGCAATAATTTACCCGGCAAGCACTTAGCATAGTAAAAGTCATCGCCTTCCCTTAACGGGTAAGAGTTTTGGTCCTTATCCTGCTCTTACCGGGTAAGATTATTGATCCTTACCATATTCATCCGGTAAGGTAAAATGACTTGGTGTTCATTAAAAGCTCAAATTATTCACACCCTTACATAAAGACCATCTTTGGTTTATTAAATCCTCAACGGTATATATACACCAATCATAAAATAAAGTTGGGTTCCGGTGAGATTGAAAATTATGATAAGAAGGGTGAGATTGAATCTCCACCCTTGGTTCAATCCTAATCAAAGATCAACACTAATACGATATACCGAGAAACACTGTATCAATTATCGTAATAAACATAATTCTTAATTTCATAAAAATAAATAAATAAAATAAAAAGGAGAAAAAGAAATCTCCTGAGGGAAGATTCACAAAATCGGAAGAGATCGTATCCAATCAAACCATCCAATTTTTGCTTATTCCATTTCCCTCTCTGCTGGGAACATCAACCATCAGTATTTGTTTGTGGGCCCCACTCTCTTTCTTTTTTCTTTTATTCCATATTTACCCCCCACACATATTTTATGATGATTCTGTCGGGCAGGGGTACCAACTTGGCTTTGTGTTTGTGTTTCTAACTTTTACCATAAAAGTGTCTCTAGTCGACTTCTTTTTAATCATTTTTAGGCTCGTTCTCATCACGTTTATCAAATAAGCGTTTATTTTATATATATCAGTAAAAATTCAATCATCAAATGATATAATAAGCCATTATTTTATCTGACAAGTGTTAATCAGGTAAAAAAAACGTCACCCTTATTTAGAGATGCACAAAAAAAAGAATTCAAACTTGAAACTCGGTACAGGCTAAGCCTTAGGCCCTGTTTGTTTTTACCTAAAAAGCACTTAATACCCTCTTATGTCTGAACCGGTCAGACCTTAGGGTATTAAGTGTGTTTTTTTTCTTTCAATTAAGAGCTTAAAAGCTCTGATTATGTCTGAATTATTTAGAGGTAACATTTTCACTTAAAACCTCTTAATTGCTTTTAGAGCTTCCAATGCTTGCAAAGAAAGCCTAGATTTCAATGATTCAGATTTCAGATTTCAGACGTAAAAACAAACAGTCTGACTAATTCAGATTTCAGATTTTAGCACCACCTCTTAAAATTTAGAAGTGAATTCAGACTTCAGACTTAAGCACCTCTTAAAAAACAAACGCCACCTTAATGTTTGATCGAACCAAAATTTTGGGGTAGGCTTAGGTAGGAAAGTCCGAAAAAACCTAAAAAAATATGGATTTTAAAAAAAAATTGTCATGTTAGTTGATAATTTTGAATAAGTGTCACCAAAAGCGACCAAAGTTGTAGGAATAAATCGACCAATTCAACTTGGAAAACCCTTAAAAAATCAATTTGAGGTAACCCGACACATAGTTGATATACAATTAGTTTAAACTGCATCTATCGGGTTGGAATTGAATTAGGATCGTTTGAATTTTGAACCTAACCCAACTCGATGAACCCGATGTCTTTCAATATAATAGATTTAATATAATTGTTAAGTCATTCATATATATATATATATATATAGGCCTATTCAAGGGATAACTGAGTTGTTTGTGGTAACTGTGAGAACCAATATTAACCACAAATCAATAAATAAATTAGGAAATTTATAAATTTGGTAATTTTAAATTAAAATCTTAATGCAAGGATATTTTTGGTATTTTAAAACACTCCTCTCTTCTCTCTCCGGCCACCGTCCTCCGGTGATACCAC